GGTCTCGAAATGAGGCACGCCGCTCTAAGAAGATTGACACAGTAGACGCAGTCGGACCAAGCCAAACAACACACATTTATTAAACTGCTTTTTTTAAGACAAAAAGTCGCAGCTTTGCCGTAAAGGCGAAGCAATAGACGCGATAGCAACAAATTCGAAGGTCACGCGCAGGATGGCAAGCAGATCGAAACGTGCGCCGCGTTTCTCATGCAAAAATTACGCACGAAACGTACTGACAGGTACATATGATCGCGAATAGGCGCCTCAGTTGTCACTTCGTCCTGTCTTAAATGTGCGCCCTTTTCGCAAACGGAGGATGGGCAACGATTGCAGTGACTTTTGCGCGCTGGGTACGTGTGATTCTCCCCATTGCAAGATAAGGGCGCATGATCAAGCGAACACCCCCCTTATTCTCTACGAGGGCCCAATAACGCATGAGAGATGAGTCGCCGCAGGTGCCGCGCGCTCAGTGTGCCATCTTGCTGATGATGCAGAAACACGACGTTCGCTAACAGCAGTAAATGGTAGACATAAATAGCTTGCCGTTTGAACATCCATGGAGGTACACCACGGTAGCTCAGTGGTAATGCCTCGCATTCACGCCGCGGAGGTCCCATGTTCGATTCCGCGCACCGGAGTCTTTCTTCTGGAATTTTTTTTATTATGTTTTCATATATATAGTTACGTATACATATACGACGCATGATTTCGGCGTCAAAATCCAGCTGAGAGTGTCCATATAATTGCTATCACAATAATACCATCAGCGGATTCAAAATACATCACAAGTAATCAACACGCTAAAACAACCTTACGCAATATTCCACAACACTCAACAACATAACAAACACGAACGAGGTAGCGTGAAGGCAACGTTGTCAATGCTTGACTCACCATGCGGGCCCACGGCAAATGACCCGCTGTGTTGTCCACCACAATAAACAACCGCTCACTCCAACCGCCGCATGTCTAAGAGAACCCCTCATACCTCATATGTCGCTAGCCAGCATCGCCACCAGGCGTCACTGCTGGCACTAAACTACTAACCATGATTGTGATAATAGTGAAAAACGCTCGCAAGCATGACGCCACCTACCGCTAGATGGTTGTGAACCCTAATGCGGCCTATGCGCGAAACACGTGTGCACCACAAGATGCTAACGACTTTACAGGGGGTGTTAGCACCCCCACATAGAACATAGCCTCACATACACTACTCGACTTTGCATAACAAGAAAAGTAATTCTCGGCTAAGTGCAACAGTCTGTACAGATGCATGTTTGGATACATTAATCAGTCACGTATTTTGGTGGCAGTAAGACTGGAGATTAGTTCTTTAAGGGGCTGCATAGCTGAACCATGTGCACCCCTACATGCCTCATAGTCAGACATTTGGCGAAATTTTCGCGCCACATATCCAGCGACTAAGTACACTCAAACCTCATTATAACAAAGTAGCACCTTGCGTGACAATAAGTTCGTTACATCCAAAAATTCCTTATAAAGGTTTATTCCTAATACTATATCTATTGCAAGACTATTTTTCATTTACTTTGTTATAACTGGTATTTTATTATATCTGGGTTCGTTATATCGAGGTTTGAGTTTATATTGTGCAGGTGATTATGGCGGGATCGTCTCCGTCTGGTGGAAAGAATCTTCACATTCCCAAAGTAAACAATGTGTATGTTGGCAGGCTAGTTGGTAAGCTGGACCATGTGGAGCTTATTTTTTAGTTCCCGTAGAGTTGGAATTAACAAGCTTTTATTGTGTTCATTTGATTGAAAGCACATATTCATTGTGTTGAGCCCATTTTTTAGTTCCCGTAGAGTTGGAATTAACAAGCTTTTATTGTATTCATTTGATTGAAAGCACATATACATTGTGTTGTCGCCTCTGTAATGAGAACTCTCTTTATATTTGTGTGCTCTCTATTTGCAGTTCTGTTTGATCATGGAGTCCCTGTAGAGTAATATGTACTGTTGTGTTTTCTGCTTATTGTGCTGACTTGTGTGTTCTTTCTGCTTTTCTGTCAGTGTGGCACATCCAAGTCAGGCAATCAACCATTCTTATTCGTGTCCTCCAAAGCAATTTTGCTACAGTATTGCCTCATTGGTACGGAATGTGCAGTGGTTAATGAGCACAAAAATACTTAAGGCGAGAACAGCACACATTCTTGTTGTCGTCTGAAGTGTTCTTGTGTGCATTAAACATTGTGTATTCTTATGTAATCAACCAAACTAAACTTCTTTAGGGCCGATTCAGATCGAATGTTTTGGTCGCTGCTACACAATACAGCCTCATGCGAATCGAGTTTGGTGTGGACATCAGTGTAATCGTAATCAATAAGCCAGATTGTGATGTGCAGATTGCGATCACCTTGATTTTAATTGGGTCTGATTGCAATTAAATGTGACCATGTAGCAACACCTGATCCTGACTGAGCCTAATCTTAATCGACCCTGATCGTCGCCATAAATTTTCATGTGACACCAATGGCTTCAAAAGTTATGTTCTCCCACAATACCAGGTCATCATTTTGCCACAAACACAGAGGAACAGTGGGTCCGTCGTGATCAACTGAAATGCGCGCCTGAGAAAAACGACATTCTACCCTGTAACACAGAACTAACACGCAGGCAGCATGTCGCCTTCTCCTCGCTGCATCAACACGTCATGATGTGACCATTCGCCCATTCTTTCTGGTAAAATAAAAAATTGAATAATGGCCAGTGTCATGAAATTCACGATACGTTTAGGCTAGAAAACATGATCATATAAGTTTTCAAACTTAGTTTTCGAAGTAGTTGTTGCGGGCAAGAACTCTGCCAGCACTGGAAGTGTGCAAATATCTGGAGCCACTAGCAATCGTAGGTTCGCATACATCGTGAAATCCGCCATACTATTCTTTATTAAATTTTCTTACAATCCCAGAAATATTGGGTAAATCGTGTCGCTCTGACGTAGCGAGAAACATGCAATATGCTGCCCGCGCATCACTCCTGTGTTGCAGTGAACAACATGTTATTTTCCGCAGGCGCATGTTTTAATTAACCAAGAGACCTTTTTTTTTATTATAGAAGTAGCTGGGCTGGGGTGCTTCAGCTGCTACTCATTAGTATCGCTACATTGCTTTGCCTTGTGGTTCCTATGTTTCATCGTTTTTGGGGATTTGTGGCAAAATCGAAATTAGGAATCGGCACACGGCACCCAAAGTTTTTGGATTAACATTTTCGAATTAAAGGGAGATGCTACTCGAAGACACTTTTTTCTTATATTCACCCTAGAGCAATGAAACTTTAGCTGTTTATGGAACTTTAATGCTGATTTCAAATATATAGTCAGTTTTCTTGTAAGCTGCCTAAATGAGAAAGTGGAAACCATAACCGTTTTGCCCCCCCCCCCCCCCTCTTTTCATCCCTAAACTTCCGTAATGTTTTACCATTTATAGTTCATAGTGTGTCAAATAAAGTGAATGCAAATAACTAATTAGGAAACACATACAAAATACGCAGTAGCCATGAAAAATAATAGACCTAAAAAAGTCCATGTTTCACCTGCCCTAGTAAAGGTTTACATACATTTTTTATTATGAAATAATATATTGAATTTTAAACTAGATAATTGTATTTCTCATACTTCGGAAAAAAATTTGGGCAAAATTTCATGCAGATTCAAGCACTAGAAGTGCCCGAAAAAGGAGGGGCACATTGTAAAAAATGACAAAATTTGTGTTTTGAGACAAACGAGTTTTAAAGTTAAAATTGAGTTTTTATTTATGAAAGATGTTTATAAATTCGATAAAATTTACACATCAAAAAGAACAGTCCTTCTTGTAGTGGCCACTGCCTCTAAAATACGCCAGCACCACGAGTTTGTATTTCTCAGCTTTTTCGAGCTCACTCTTCACAGACATTTCGCTCACAGACAGGGCCATGAAACGCTTGTCAAACTTCTTCCGCTCCATCTGGCAGAGCTTTGTGCCGACTGCAAGCTAGGAAGAAGTTCAACGGGACGGTGAAATCTAAACTAAGTTTAGTGTCGAGAGACACAACAGCGTCGATGCCATTTTGCGGCCACATTTGTGCCACGTACTGTCGTACATAATGGCAGTGTCGTCCCCGCTAAGCTTCCTCACTGTGAGCTCCTTCGAGCGCGCGAGATTGGCACTGATGTCATCCATTGCCACATTACGAGCTTTCCGGCTGATGGCTGTGAATGACTTTTGATGCATTGGCTTTTGCAAGCCAACAACTGCCGCAAATCGAACCAGCTGCTCCTAGCCTATTTCTACAGAGCACGGTGCCACAACGGCTTTCCCGCGTGATCGATGGCTTTTTTTTTTTTTTCATTCATAACGGCGATAAATACACGAGGAAAGCATTGTTCAGCTACTCTGCTCGACATGACATGGACCCGGCAAGTAGGCTTCACAGCACATACAGGCGCTCAGCGGCCAATGGCGGTCCCCGATCTGTACCACGTGATAAGCCAGTCGTGGCACTCGAAAAATGCGTAAAAGCATGCTTCTTTTTATTATTTTTTGCAGCGCATCAGAGAAGGAAGCTGTAGTTATTTGAAGAGTGAGGCTCGAGTCTTCGCCACATGCGATCGACAATGGCGAGCGGCGGCGCATTATTGGCGGCAAGGTCCTTGAGGACTGCAAACTTTGAGCCTTTTAACAGGCACCTTTTGCTCTTTAGACGCAGTTTTCAAGCAATTCCGGTTAAGTCTCTACATGTATTTTTTTTTTTTCAAAACAGGCGAAAATAAAAAAATCTGTAATTATGAAGAAAACTCGCGTTTTTCGACCCGCATCTCCCCTTAACCAAGACTGGTGCTGATCGCCGCTGCAACTTATTCGCTCAGGCTTGCATGGCAAAATATGGGACCACAGAAATATTTTGAAATAATTGAGTTTGAATTAATGAGGTTTTACTGTACGTAGAAAAGTGCTTGTTGAATGCATTGACTAATAAACGGCGGTTTCTATCCCACAGTGATGCAAATGGCCTGGCGAGAGAGAGACCCCAAGACGCGCATCCAACATGCTCATACAGCACTTGATAAGAATCCAGAGTCAGTATTGATTTCTGCTTCACATATCATTGTGTTAAAACGAAAATTTAGCTATTCAGCTATGATAGTTCACCCTACTACAGCCTAACACGGATATATCGAACCCACATATATAGAATTTTCGGGTACATCAAACTCATAAGTTATCCACTTGAAGTTCCTTTGTAAAAGTATAGAAATTCTCACCTTTATATCGAACACCGCGCCAGCAGGAAGGTGTGCTTCAACACTCGCCGCGTCCCACGATCTACGCAGCAGCGCGGCTTTGTGCGTGAGTTGAAACTTGCACTTTGGCACTCACAGTGCCCTGCGACCTCCGCGCGGCACCACCCTCCGCCAAAAGCTGAAACGTTCGAAAAAAGGTAAAGGAGAGAGGGCTCAAACTGTACAGTCTCCAACTTGCGGAACAGCTTTCTCTTTTTTTTTTTTTTTCTCTTTCTCTCTCTCATGCTTTCTCCGCATACTCGTTGGCTCGGAGAGCTGGAACGAAGGAGCCGAAGCCAAGTCATCCTCCTTTCGCCTTTTCTCTTATTTATTGTTGCTGTTTGAGTTTTGATCAGCCAACCACAGCTAGCCTCACGCCTTCTGCTGTTGCCCTCGCAGTTGGCCATCGCCTCGCGAGCGCTTTGTAGCTTCCGTAACGTTGTCGCGTCGCCTACGTACCGCCGCATGTGTAGCATTTCTCTTTTCCATGTGTAGTGTGCAAAGCCGCTGCGGACTCCTTGAATTGTCGTCTTCTCGTGTAACTATCACCAGCGTCAAGAGGTGCAAGGCCCTTGACTTTGTGACGAAGTTGAAGGCTATTCAGCGTGTTGAGGGAGGCGAGAAATGTTCGTTCGTTGTGGACAACTTTTGGATACCACAGAGTACTCTCAGTACCTTGTTGAATAACAAAGCACATATCAAGGCAAAGGCAGAGGTGCAGCGAACGTCGGGGGCCTGTCATGTGCGTGCTCCTGCCCATGGGAATGTAGAAAAGGCACTTTATGCCTGTTACTATGAAGTACGTGCAAAGAACATTCGGTGGATGGCCTGACGCTGATGGCCAAAGCTAAATAGTTTGCCGCTGCACTCGGTGAGACAACTTCGTCGACAACACTGGGTGGCTTCACTGATTTAAGCAGCACTACAGCATCGTTAGCAAAGCCATTTCAGACGAAAGCAAAACTGCCAGCAGTCAGGACATCTAGCAGCGATGGCAAAGGAGTGGCCAGAAATTTCTGCAGATTTTAAAAACCTGGCGAGACGTGAAGACGAACACAGTGGTCAACTGCTTCTTCAAGGCAGGCTTCGAGACGACGAAAATTGCGGAAACCAGTGAACATGACGATGACGAGCGCAGAGATGACGCGTTTCGCGAGTTGTCCCGCTTTTTGGCAGCAGTTCCACGCGAAATGTCGGCGGATGACTTCGTGGAAGCTGACTGCAATTTCCAGGCCGACAGCTCACGTGACGAGGATGATCGTCCTGATGAGGCGCTGGCTACACGTGCATAACCTACCGCTGAAGTGGTGGCAGCATTTGGCATCATTTGTCATTGTATTGGCCACATGGAAGGAATCGGGCTGTCGCACCTGGACAGCCTTGATAAGATCAAGACTAGCTTCTTCAACATTTGAAAAACGAAAAAGCTGGCAAAAATAAGCAATTTTTTTTTACGCAAATAAATCATTTTGTTGTGGTGTGTGTGTCAGGAATTAGTTGTCATTCTTGAATGTGCCTGTTCTAATTGATGGTCCGCTACAGGTAAGCTCCCGGAGCCTGTATTTCTTTATATTGAATTTTTTATATATCGAACTCATTTGCGATCCCCTTCGAGTTCGATATATCCGTGTTTGACTGTAGTCAGAATAGACTGCTAGATAGGCAACCAAACTATTGCATGATTGCCCACAATGTTTTTACTCTTCAGTGATCGTACTGGTACTCACTATTAAACAGCACGTGCTCATGTGTTTTGTTAAAGGGGCCCTGCAACACTTTCTGAGCATGGTCAGAAAATGCTGCCGCTCGGTTGTAGAGGCTGCCGACAACATGCAAGCCAAAAATTACAGCGCAGCCTAGAATTCACAATAAATTATCAGTCAGCTAAAAATTTATTTCTCTTCTCTCAACAAATCACGAAAGACGCTCAAACATCACTCGTAAAAAGCCCATTTATCAGCCATTGGGTGATTTGAACATGGCGCGCTCAGACGTTGCAGAGATTGCTGGGGCAGGCCACAACTTGTGCATGCGTGCATGCGTGATCATACTGCAAAAACCGCAAATTCGAAGGAAAAAAAGGAAAAAAAGAGGCGCACGTGACGTTTTTCTTTACCCCTGCCATCCCTCTCTGCTTAGCTTCCAGCATTTCCTTCGGGACGAGAGAAGGCAGAATGCAATTGCAGCATGCACCAAACCTTTGTAACTCCGCCCGCACTGGGCGGATTCTTGAAATTTTGGGGGCGTTGAATTCGTGAGGCGATGAGCTCTTCCATGGTTCATTCCATGTTTTTTTTTTTTTAATATTTCAGGGCCTCTTCAAGGCACAAAATTTGCTGTTTCCTGCAGCATGTGAAAGCCCCTTTTCAATCTTGGGACGCTTTTCTGCATTACATCAATGTACATTGGCTAAAGGGACTTTAAACAGCATTTGGCATGCGACCGATCAAGGCCAGACCATGTGGGTTTTTTAACACATAAGTGTTTTATGCTGTGGTCCACCAAGACTTGGCTGACATTGATTCGTCGTGGAAAAGTTTTCTTGGTATAGTACCCCTCCGCAGGGGGTTACAGGCACATGAATATACATCTGTTTGTTCCTTTTCAATACTGAAAATTTAAAAAAAAACGTGGTTTATTTCTTTTAGGAACTCGTATAACACAAAAGTGAAACGTGTTCTCGTAGAGGTTGTTGAGCATTCATTGTGCATTGTCGTGCCACAAGGGCGAAGGAATGAATGCTGAAGTAACAAATTGCAATGTCACAAAGCCGCCAGGAGCGTTAAACATTACCTTTATAATACGAACATTGGCCCATTACTCGAGTGCGCTTGCACAGCATGGGAGCCAGCCACCCTCTGTCTTGTAAATAATCTTGAGTGTAACCAGAATCGCGCAGGCAGGTTTGTCTCTCGTAATTACAACTATAAAAGTAGCATTTCATTAATTAAAGACAACCTTGGCTGGAAAACCCTAGCCCAACGCTGCTTAGCAATGAAATTGGAACTTTTTTTCTGTATTTACTCTGATCTCACAGGTATTAACAAAAACTTGTACATTTTTCACCCTCACTTCATCTCTACACGTTGTGATCATGACTGTAAAGTACTTGAAAGGTGATGCAACACAAATGTGTTTCGTTATTCATTTTTTTCCTCACACCTCCACGCTTTAGAACAGACTTTCTAAAGGTATAGTAGATTGTAAAACACTCTCCGAGTTCCATTCGTTTTCTAATTCAAATTTCCTGGGAGCTATAGCTAGCTGTCCCCTGGCTTTTGCTTCTGCTGTTTTTTATTTATTTTTTATTTTCTTCTTTTGGTGAGATTGTGCCTGAATTATGTCATCACATTTTATTGTTGCACACAACGCTTTGTTATTAGCTCATTTTTTATCTTTGTCTTTGTGTACACGTATATTCTTTTACATGATTATTTTTTCTCGTTACCCCCCTGCAATAATGCCCTCGTGGCGTTGAAGGTACTTGTATAAAAAAAAAAAAAAGAACTGAAGCAGCTCGAAACACGCAGTGCATACCCCAAGCAGAAAGCATGCATGAAATTAGCATACACAGGTCATTTGTGAACAAAGAAATGTCACAATTCTTACTTTGTGTGTGAGCAGCGCGCTCCTGTCTTAAATGCTGCCTCTGCAGCGAGTGAATTGAAGTTCATGTTCTCTTTAACTGCTGTAACTTCAAAGCAAACTTGCGGTGGAAGCACAAGAGGTTCAGAGCACCCAAATCTCGGGATGAGCGCTCGCGTCTGAGTGAGCCATCGCGAGAGAACATCTGCGTCCACTTTGACCTCACCATGTGGAGGGCAAACAGTGATGCGCAAAGTGGCGCGGCACGACAACCTTTAGAGCAGGCGCACCCATTGTGCCATCTCGCTGCTGATAGCTAAAATTCACTGAAGTTTCTCAAGATCTGAGAACTGCCAGCGGCACAAGCTATATATAAATGGCTTGCCGTTATCATGTTAGAGAAGTATCGTTCTGTGGCTTAGTGGTTAGCGTTGCACACTGAAGATCGCGAGGTCACTTGTTTCACACCCTGCTGCGGAAGTTTCTCTTCTCTTTTTTTTTTCTTTGCAATCTGTTTGTAAATATTTTATAGTTTCATATCCTTGACGTAAATACGGCATGGAGCCGTAGTGGACCTCGGCATAAAACACTGTTGTGTTAATACTAATTTGTTTCAAAGCAAACTCGAATACTGTCATATTCATTCAAACATTGAAGTGCTCGCATATTTGCACAAGCCTAGGAATAAAACCACGTGACTGTGCCTATGCGTCATTGTATTGTAACACTGTCAACCGTGCTTTGAGTGAAACAACTGTGCGCATAAACTTTGGCTGAATGAGCAGCTGTGGCTTTAGGCGTTTGCTTCACAGCGCATCAGCATTTGTGACATTGGCACACAGCAAGAAAGCACTGTTGTCCCTGAAAAGTGGTAAGTTGAGCACATTTGCTTCACGCTAAGCACGGTTGAGAGAGCTGCAATGCTGTAGCACATAAGCGCAGTCACATGTTTTTATTTCATATTTCACTGGCACTCTTTGAATATTGAAAAAGATTACGAAAAAATATTGAAAAAGATAAGAAAAAGATTAAATATTGAAAAAGATACGTTGCTGCAAAGAAACTGGATCAGTCGTTTTGGAATTCCCCTAATGTAATAAAATGCACTTCACCCTAAAGTGAAGGTTTTAAAATGGGCTATTGATTTTAGGTAATGAACTATTTAGGCACTATATTAAAATATCTTCATGAGTGCCAAATGGTGGCAATCCATATGTTGTTGGTTTTATACAGTTGCAATTAACCATTATTTATAATCTTTGTTCTTGTTAGATGAAACACCCTGCATGTACTTTTATATGAAGTTGCACTGGAAAGTTGAGTAATTTTGTGTGCTCAGATATGGGTGGACGTTAAAGAACCCCAGGTGGTCGAAATTTCCGAAGCCCTCCACTACGGCGTTTCTCATAATCTTATGGTGGTTTTGGGACGTTAAACCCTACATATCGATCTAAAGTTGATTGATATGTGAGGTTTAAGGCCCCAAAACCACCATATGATTATCAGAGCCACAGTAGTGAAGGGCTCCTGAAATTTCGACCACCTGGGGTTCTTTAACGTGCATTCAAATCTGAGCACACAGACTTCCGGCATTTTTGGCTCTGTCGAAAATGTAACCACTGCAGCCAGGATTCGATCCCGCGACCTGCGGGTCAGCAGCAGAGTACTTTAGCCACTAGACCACCACCGCGGTGGGGCAACGTGCTGCAAAGTTGTACGTCGTCAAATCCTCAGAAACATCATGCACCTTGGCAGCAAAAAATATTTGCTTCATTAATGGTGCAGCATGCACATGTGTTTTTATGCAGGTGTGTAACAGCATACATCTTGCTGGCAGAAGAAGAGGCTCCAAGCGTGCTTGAGGTATGTGTTGGGCCATACGGTTTGTAGTGTTGTGGTATTTTTAGGTAGCCATGTGCAGACCACTGTTACGTAATCCAAACTTTGTGCACGAAGCTATGCTGGCGCAGCGGGCATGGGTTCTTAGTGCCGCAGATGTGTTTCCTGAAACTTTTGTTTGCTTGTGTATGGCTCCCAATTGTGTTGATTATACCATTCAGAATTAACCAGGATGCTAAATTCACAAACTCTTGCATGCTTAGCTCTCATAATTAAGTTGGGACAAGGACTGTGGAGATATTCTGTGAATCTTTGAAATGTGCGAAATTAGATAAGCCATCATAGATTTTCATGTTGATTTCAAATATGAGATTTTTTATTATTGGCCAACTTTTTTACAAGATACTAAAGGCTACCTATCAAATATTTCCAGGGACAATAGGAAATGAACCATTGAGCAGAAGATCAACATTGTTTCATAGTTAAATACTCTGATATGTAATAAATAAGTTCATTGCTGCAAACATTCACATAATAATTCATATAATAATAACGTAGGAAACAAATTCATAATTTGAATATATAGAATTAAAACTTACCGTATTCACTCGAAAATAGGCTGGGCACATATATAGGTCGACCCCTACTTATAGTGTTCTATGAGAGAGAAAAAAAAAAAAGATATTCGAATATAGGTCGTCCAATGCTTTTTTTTTCTTTAGTTTAAAAACAGAGAAATTGAAACCCAGCACACTTTTATTTACATAGCTCAGCGCCCTAATCGCTGCCGGGGCTGTCATATGTGCAAGATGATAATGTCTTCAGATTCTTCGCAAGCATCCATGACTTCCCAAACAACGCCGTCCTTGCTGCCACCGCTGCTGATTGCTGGGCCGCAAAAGGCACGACGCCAACATTTGCACGCAAACAGATGGCCCCGCTGCTTTCGCTGACCCCTTATCAACATCTCATTTACACAGAACACGTGCTGCACAGCACAATTGCTCGAGTCCTTGGTAAAAAGTATCACTTGGCACTTGAAGTCACCTGTGTAGCTCTGCCGACGTGACATAGTCGCAACCATGCACAAGCAAATGGTGGTGGTGGTTAGAAGAATGCAGCACCTAATGCGAACCGTCAACCCATCATGCCGATTGTACAATGAACAAAGCGCGAGGCGGTGACGGTGAGGCAGCAAGGCTGCAAGCTGGAAGACATTACTGAAAGCACAACTAGCGGCCTAGGGACTTCACGGCCGATACTTAGGGAAATCGTGGATTTCATAGCAAACAGGGCGGAGCGGCTGCATTTTGCAGGGGCGGTACACGGCTATTGCATAAATAACCTTTTTCTTAAATACTTCGGTAGTCGGAAAGGAGGAGGGGCGTCTTTATTTCAGATTTTATGGTATACAGCTAAACCTGCTTATAACGAACCTCCGTATAATAAATTCCTCGATATAACGAAGTTTTTCTATTCCCCGCCGTCGCTCCTTAGAAGCACATGTATTTGCAACCTCAGTGTAACAAAGTAACAACCTTGATATAACGAATTTTCTCCACGGACAATCTAGGAATTTTGCTCTGCATTGTGTTACGAGCATGCATCTTCCACGGCTGCCCCGCCGCTGACAAAGCACGAAGCGACACGGCGCGCATGGCGCACCAGGGACAGCAAGCGCTCGTCATTGCGCGAGGGTGAGCACGAGCAGGCCTGCACCCTACGAGCACGTGTCGCTGCCGTTCTCGCCGCCGCGGGCGCATGCACAAGTTTGCTTTCCCCCTCTAAACCAAAATAAACAAAGAAATAAAACTATTTCATGCAGTGTGCGCGTGCATAGTTTCACTGCGCGTGCATGGTGTGGCCCCTGACAACGTCCAGCTTTGCTTTTTTTTCTATTACGATAGCATTTATGCGAAGAGTCCTGGCTGTTTTATTGCCGTCACCGCCACAGCCGTCATTCGCCGTATATGTACATATCAGAGATAACAACTAAAGAAAAAAACCGCCTGCGCTCGGCACCCAGCTTGTCACGATGCGCCGACGCGTGCTTGTCTTCCACCCGTACTTTGCCCCATCAATAGGGGGGGGGGGGGGGGGGTAGAGCGCGCACTTATCCTTCGGTGGGAAAAATAGCGCCTTTGACTTTGACCGGAACGATTGCCTCTAGTTGCCGGGGGCACAAAGATTACTTCGCTCGCTGGACAGGTGCCGTTTGCGAAAAAAGTGCACTTTTCATAAACAGCAAAGTAACAACTGTGGCACTTGTTAGTTCGCACTCATATCTGTACCTGTAATCACGTTTCTTGTCTCGTTTTTGTTTAAACAGCGTGTTAAGTGTCGAGCGGTAAATTTTGTATGTTTGCTCTCGTCCTGTCAATTGTTTTCATGCGTCATTTGCATTGTGAGCAGCGCGTTGCACGTTTCAATCTGCTAGCCGTTCTTATCGTTACATTCAAAGTTGTTGCTATTGCAGTCATTAATTGCTTCGCCCTTGCGGCAAAACTGTGACTGTTCTTAATTTCGGATGATGTTGTCGTCACCGAGGGGATGTCAGATGAGGCGTTGATGGAAACTCTCCGAGACCACGGTGACTACAGATCTTCAGAGGTTGGCTCGTAGCGTGCTTCTGTCTTGCGCCACGCCACGAGTTCACAGGCTGGTAGCTTTCGCGATTAACTGATTAGTTCTGGCAACACGACAACATGTTGAATGCAATGCAATGAACGCGATAGCAAAAGATTGTAATGGTATATGAAGTAAGGCTGCAGCCAACTTTTTTTAATTGCATACCGCATAACTCCGCCTACAAAATGCTGGTGTGAGCAAATACGGCTTCTCCAAGGAGAAATGCTTTTTTCACACAGTCACTTCGTGTTGAAACTGCACTGATACTCGCCGAGATGGCAAGTGTGCCAGAGATCCCGACGGCCCTTGAAATCTAAGTTTATTGATGCTACTCGATCTATTCCCCCGCCCCCCGTCCCACCGCCATCCCAGTGTTGTTTCATGCTTGTTCAAGACGGGTGGTTTACCCTCTGTGTGAGCATTCGACGGCAGTTCTAACACGCGGGAGATGTTATCTTATGCACTTTCCAGGTGATAGAAATGGGCCAACTGATTTGATCTCTGCTTCAGCAGCGCTCACGCGCTTTTACCCGCTCAATAAAGTTACGAAGCGCTTGGGCATCTTATAAATTTGGACTTGTTACGGAACATGGCGGCGACAGAAAAAACCCGCCGAGTGTAACTATGTAATTGCTATCGCAATAATAATGAAGTTTTTTTAACTGTAAAACAAGTGTTTTGAATTGGCTCTCCTTCAGTACCCCTCTCGTTTAAATTGCACGTTTATTTCGCGAATTTTTGTACTGAGCCTCCATATAATGAAATCTTTTATAACGAATTTTTCTGAAACTTCATCAATTTAGTTATATCCATGTTTAACTGTATAACATGCATATGCAGCAGAAGCTGCTTGAAGAACAGTGGGCGCGGCAGTTGAACACCGTAAGCTCGGCGCTTTTGGTTGGTTTGATCGTGAATATAGGTCGGGATTCTCTGGTCACAAGTATAGGTTGATAGCTGGTTATGAGCAACATTTAAAAAAAGGTCAATCCATATTTGCATAAATACGGTAATCTAACAAAACATGATTTTATGAATTTCCAGTTCTATAGCACACATTTCCATTGCCCTGCAAGAACTCTTAGGGAGCCATGTTGTCATCAACTCAAATGAACAAAGTTCTTGCAGAGATAAGTGTGCCAAAAAGCAGTAATTCGAAGTAAGGTGGGTAGCTAAATCTTTTGAATCCAATTTTGCGTAACTCTACAAAATTCTTGTGTAAGACAAAACGGCCACGCCTGGTAGAGCAATGCTTTTCGCATAGTCACTTCGTTATGAGAGCGAAGCTCTTACAACTGTATATGAGCCGCCCGCTTATGGCTGCCGAGCTAGTGCATGTGCCAATTATTACAACCGCCCCCTTTGAGGCAAAGTTTACTGTTGCTGCTTTTGCGAACCTCCGCCCCCCACTCACGTCTTTTCATGCTCGTTCGTGATGGCCGGGTGTTTCTTCTGCTTCAACGGCAGGCCTGCTGAGTGGGGTGTGTTATTGCAAGCAACCTCAAACTGATAAAGCTAGGCCGACTTGTTTAATCCTGTTGCCCCCACTTGCGCACCTTCACTCCCAATTACAATGCACAGGGGTGAATTTGGACCTTATACAGCTCATGATGGTGACAATGAAAACGTGCCTAGAGTGTCCATTTCTATGCAATAGTGAGGCTATTGCACAATTTTTTTTTTCCTTTGAATAATGCAGCATTAGACATATGTTGTTTTGAAAAGGTCGCTCTGACTGCTCCAAACTTGTTCGAAAAGGCCTTTCTGGCTTTTCACGGGCTCACTCTAAGCCTGCTGCAAAAGGCACGTATGCCTGCTCTGCGACAGGACCTGCTACCTTTGAGTAACGTGTCCGATGTTCTAGCAACTTGGCTACAGTAGCAGTGATCGCCTTGTCCACGTTAATGGGTAGATATGTTCATTTAAACCTGGTTATGTTATCCAGCACCACTAGTGGCCACAAAAAGGAATCTTTGTGCTTTGCAGAATCAAGCTGCACCCCTTTCTGTCTATTCCGTTTTTCTACCCACCAGGCTGAAAGACTATTTCGGCAGGCTCTCAAGTATGCCGAGGCAAACCATCGTAAAAGCCAGCCATTACAGCACCAGGGAAGCCTTCATGAAGCAGTTCACAGTGAGTATTTTGCATTTGTGATATTATATTGTGTTTTAGCGCTTATAAAAAAAAACATCGCCATTTTTACAAAATTTTGTCGGCCCTATTTGGGCAGTAAAAGGGGTGGGGGAAAAGCATACGTACAAAAAAAGTGCTCTCTATACAAACAATCAAAGCGTATGGGGCGCGCGTTGTAACGCGAGTAAGAGTGCGAGATAGATAACTGATGTGTGATAGACCCAAGGCCTTACAGAACTGCAAGGACATCATGGTTACTTTCTGCGAGATCCTAAACCATTATAGAGAAATGCGACGATGTTACCCACCACCCCACATGCAGCTAGAAAGGTCTCAGGCGTCTGATATTTTCATATATATAGATACGTATACATATACGGTTAGCGATGGTGATGTCGACGTTGGCGGCATAATCCAGCTGAGGGTGTCCATATAATTGCTATCGCAATAAAACAATTCGCTTTCATCTCCTTAAATCACTCAAGTTACAAAATCTTGACTCAGTCTTCGTTCCTGTGAACTTCGGTTGATATCGGCAAGGTTCCTGGGGTCCCGAGGTTCGACAGCACTTATGTAAAATATTGTTTGCAGTGAAGCTTTTTTCCAGGGGCGCAAGCTCTTCATAGCGGCTTTCGGTTACCTGGAGACGTAAAAATTTCGCTGCTCTTTTGTTTATTGTTGCTTTCCTTGAAGATTTCAATATATGCAGGGTATTAATACTGTGTACATTTTATGTTGATAATTGGAAATCACACGTCTCCGGTTAATTAGAGTGAACGATCAAAGATAGAAGTAGCTCTTCATCCTTTAAAGTAAGAAGTAACCATCAATAAAACACATTGATATACATATGAATTTCACTATATCAAGCAAATTCAATCAATGGTACTGTTTAATGTAACAATTAATTTGAAACTTGTGTGGAGAAACTGTCAGTATAGTCGGATACAATAAGTTATATTTGTAAGTAGAATTGCCATGCAAACCATTCAATCTCGATAATTGTCGCATGTGAGTAAATGACAGTAGTGATAGTATTTGCTAATTAGTAATTAAACATGTAAAACAATTATAATTGAACTCTAGAATTATTAATACTTACTTTCACAGTTTGATATGAATGGGGTAAATATTAATCGAAGGATCGAGAAGTAATGTATAACATGTAAGTGGAAACGTAAAATGAATCATTGATACAAGAACTTCAAGTTACTAATTAGTTATAAGTAGTCTTTGATATAATTAGTATGTTTTGTTATAAGAAATACCAATTTATTTCAGAACATTATGACCAAGAATAGCTGAAAAACATTTATGAACATTTTAAATCTGATGGTATAAATAATCACTTGTAATAATCAAGTCACTCGTTTTAAGCTGAAAGTAGAGAACCTTTACTCAACAAGGACATGTTCATGAAATATATCAGCCATTCAATAGATGAAATGGCGACCGGGGAATAATAATAATATGTCGTTATTCTCTGTGATGGTTATCAATTATTACTCATCAGGAATGATAATTGATGAAGTATCTTTAATGTATTGATTTAAAGGCCCAAGTGAAAGGTATTGAAAAAGAGCTGACGATTACAGTTTATTATTTATCGTTGTCGGCACTTAAGAAGTGCAAGTAGATAACCAATAAACTATTCCACGATATTATTGTAATGTATGAGATGAAAGAGGGAGAGACTAAATAAATCTGGAATGGATTGCTCATCTTTGCTAAATTAAGATACAGAGCTTGAAGCTCTGTATCCTGATTAGAATAAATCTTTATTTTCGAGATGTTTGAGCATTTCATCAGGCCGTGTGTGTTGCAGACAGAGAACTAGTAATGTCACTGAGTGATTTCAAATAAGCTTACCCAACCCTAATTACGTCATTTTGTATCAAGCAAATCTGATTAAGTTGGACTTATTTGAGGTGTGTCTAATTATGCCAAATTTAATTAAACCAAGCATAACTGATCACCGTAAATATCTCAAGATTGAAATAATAATCAATAACTAGTTATGCCTTCGCCTAGTAAGCTGTGCTGAACTACGGTGATTCTAATTATTTTGTTGGTACAGCAGCAATGTACGCATATTCCACCGCGCACTTCGTCGTCGTCACTTTCAGGAATCTCCTCAGCCCGGGACAATATTAAAGACTGAACACTGTCCAAGAACACTTAGCATGCGCCTTGCCTGGTCACGTGGTGCCTAACTAATGAATTAATTTCTACAACGTAGTAACAGTTTCATTCAACCGCGTACAACCTAGAAGCAAAGTGATTTCAACCTACACGTTTGGCTCAAGCCTAACTCTACCAGTGCAAGCTAGTCACATTTCTTTTCAATGATATTGTTTATTGCTTTATTGTTTGTGGCGACACCAAAACTCAGTACAGAGCCCTATTTAAGATGATGGCGTTCCAGACGCTGCGATCAGACTCAACTCCGTCTTTAAGGTATAAGGCAAAAAAATACTTGTTTATTTAACTGCGTTCGGAAGCGCTCTGCTGCCACTTGAGCGTCCCCGCGTCCCTCGCTCGCGCTCTTCTTCTTTCTCGTTTCCTTGTCCCAGCCCAGAACGTGAAAAATAATCAACACTGTCCAAGAACACTTAGCATGCGCCTTGCCTGGTCACTTGGTGCCTAACTAATGAATTAATTTCTACAACGTAGTAACAGTTTCACTCAACCGCGTACAACCTAGAAGCAATGTGATTTCAACCTACACGTTTGGCTCAAGCCTAACTCTACCAGTGCAAGCTAGTCACATTTCTTTTCAATGATATTGTTTATTGCTTTGTTGCTTGTGGGGACACCAAAAACTCAGTACGTCGTTGTGTTGAGCAGCAGGAAAAGGTGTGGAAGGCCTTCCGTGCACCATCCTGACCACTCACACACACCAGTAGCGAGCAAGACATGCGAATCACAAGTTAGAATGAGTGGTACTGCTCTGGGCTTAGAAAAAGAAGCTTCTTAATTCGAGCCAGCATGGCTGGCGTTGTGGAGTGGTGGAGATGGGCAAAAAAGTTGTGATAAAGCGAGCAGAGCAGACTTGTGGGAGACAGGCGAAGGAGTTGCGATAGAGTGAAGAGAAGGGAGCATACTGCAGGAAGACGACCTTGAAAAGCAAAACACAAGGGAAAAAGGCAAATCGGGTAGCTTGCTCGAAAGGTTCATGAAACACGCATGCGTAAAAAATGGGAGAGTCGCCAGTACGTGCAGAGGTTGAAGAATCGAATTGTGAGGCTGGCAGGCTTGTACGGCCTCACTGACTACAGTAATTTGTGATTCGTTCCGCGTCACAGCCGTTTTTATGCTTTTGTAGTGCTGTGAAATGGCACTTCTGTGCGCGAAGGCCAACAGCGCAAGCACGAGGAACCACATGACTGTTCTTCGGGCCGTTCAAGGGCATTAGAAGTTGAGTTGTTGTTTGGGACGCGTGTGGCTTATCTCGCTTTCGAGACCTGCCCGCCCAGCTCGGCCTAGCAATGTGTTCCAACATTGGTGACCCGGAATTGTGGTGCAATCACCGGCGTTGAGCATCAACGTCTCAATGACTTCGATGCCGACGACTGGCTCGGCGACTATGTCTTTGACGTGCACAATGGACGCTATGCTGACAGTCTCGGCGGTAGACGGTAAGCTGCCACCCTTTTGGATCGCGTACCCCTCACTCTAGTTCATTCGAGTAGAAGCTCAGTTTGCAGCGTGACTTAACACATCAGACTTGACCAAATAATGTTAGGTAGTGAGCACGATGCAATAATACTTTAGGTTAGTGAACACCGCGTAGCAAACGCTTGGCGGGGAGGGACCGATTATGTTCTCGTTTGTGGCGTGCCGGTAGATGGCTCGCCGGAATAATGACCGTTACGGGCTGCTGGCAAATACTGCAAAGCACATCAGGCACGTGGGCGACGGTTTTCAAATCTAAGAAAACTGGGTTATTGCATGATATCAACCACGCGACACGCATAGAGCAGCACCAGGAAAAAGAAAGTGATAAGGGAGGAGGTTGACGGTACAGCGAGGGTGTTGTGGCAACGATAAATGAGTGCCGCTACTTTCCTATGTCACGGGGCTTTCACGGGAGAGGAAGGCCGGGGAAAAGTTTGTAGCGCCAGCTCTCGGGCTCCTTGCGAAGCAGAACATTATCGGGCAGCTGATAGTGCTGGAGTTTGCTCACCTAAAGTATTCTTGTACCGTGGTCGTGAGCAATCTCTTGCCACCCATAGCCAGTAAAATATGGGATCTCTTACTCGGCCCACCTGCTGAAAAAGGATGCATAATGCTAAAAGGAACTCTCATCCATCATGCCACGCCCCCTGAACCGCAGCGACTACAGCAATTGCTTCACGGCACGAACTTCAGCGACCATACTCCTAGTGAACTGTTGCGGCACATGAAACTAATGTGCAGCAAAACAACATACAGCTTAGACGGAGTATTATTTCGAAAAGTCTTTTTGCAAAAGCTGCTGTCAAGTGTCCGCTTAGTTGTCTAGGCGTCAGAGCAGAAAGACCTACCTGCCGTCACCAAGTTCGCTGATCGGCTCATGGCAGTTGCCACACCCACATCACTCGCAGCCGTGCGAGAACAACTGACTCATGATGAGCTTCAACAAATGCGCGCAGATATTTCACAGCCGTTTCACAAATGCGTGCAGACGTTATCAGCATTGCGTACAAGCAGGACAGCACAAAATGCAAGCAAGCCAAACATGTCGCTATCACAACAACATCAACGGCAAATATATGCTGGTATCATCGGCGGTTCGGAAATGCTGCGCGCAACTGTGTCCCACCTGCGCGCACTCAGGATACGACCGCGGCAAGCACTGAAAGCGACCAGTGCTGCTACTCTTTAACTCGTCCCTCAGTATTTTTCGTCACGGACCTTAACAACCGGGCTCTTTTCTTAGTCGACACTGGTGACGAGGTCACAAACCGAAAGAAAGTACCCCACTACATCGCCACTCCAAGCTGTCAATAAAACAGTGA